TTCCCCCGCTCCACCCGCCCTCCATGGCCCTCGACCCCCATGGTTTCATGGACCCATCCCTTCGACCTCCATGGCCCCCATGGACCGATGGCTCCTATGAGCTTAGGGTTTAGGGTTTTCTTGGAGTTTAGGGTTTCAGGGTGTAAGTTTAGGTTTCGGGTTTCGGCATTGAGGTTGTAGGGTTTTGGGTTTAGGGCCTTCAGCGTGCCATCAGCCAGACTCTCTTAGATCTGGGGTCGGCGGCACTGGCGGTAGCCATTAAATCGGGCAGCGCGAGGTCCCCAAAGGACCGAGCAAATGCGGACCTTTTAACCCGTCGTCCCGGGAATAGCCTTGCTGGCCTCTGGCCTTCTGCGAAGCAGAATTAGGCCGGACGCCAGTGCCGCCGACCCCCGCGTGCCGCCGGTGAACGGTTTTTTTTTCGTGGTTTTTTGCGTCGCCACGGAGGCCCCCAGAGGGCGCGCATCATGAGCATCAGCGGGTCCAGCCCGGGACCCCCAGGCGCGCATCAGGAGCATCAGCGGCTCCCGGGGCGGGACCCCGGGGGCGCATCAGGAGCATGATGCCACCCTAAGGGCGGGCATAAGCGACGTGTCTCAGCCCGGGGCTAGGAAAAAGGGAGTTTAGGGGCCTTATAAAGTGCTTAGAAACTTTAAGGGAGTCTAGGAGCCTCAAACGAGTTTAGGGGCCTGAAAATGCTTAGAAACTTTAAGGGAGTTGAGGAGCCTCGAACGCTTAGAGATTTTAAGGGAGTTTAGGGGCCTCAAAATGCTTAGAAACTGCTCGCCCCGCGCTTCTGCCTGCGCTGCCCGCTCATGGGCGCAGCCCCTTAAAATAATCTTGCTTTCAATATCGCTTTCTCTGTGATTCGGGTGTTACGTTTCTTTCCGCGTGTGTGAGGTTCAAGCCCTTCTCCCTGCGTGGTACTTGTTGCTTCATGGAGAGCGAAAGGGGCGAGTTTGCTCGGGAAGCGGTTGGCCGGACTGGCCTGCCCAGGACTTCGATCGGCTGCTGCTTGCCCTTGACGTACCACGTCGTCGGCTCGGGGGTGGGGCTGGGATCTGCACCCGGCAAGTCACTGAATGTCTATTTGAATGTCTATTTGATGACGGTTCCCCTCGGTGTCCTTGAGGGAAGGGCGCGTTTTTTCCGGAGTTTCGGGTGAGAATGGCTACTCACTCACTCACCCACGCATGCACCCCTCCTTCCCTTCCTTCCTTCCTCCCTCCCTTCCTTCCCTCGCTCCTTCTGTCGTACCAGCATGCTCTTTCTCGCATACTCTCTTAATCTCTTACTCTCTTGCTCTCATACTCTCTTGAACTCTGGGACGTGTCTATTTTGTCTGTGCCACGTCCTTGCAGGGAAGTGGCAGGTGGCGGTGGTCTTCGACAGCCTCTGCTCGGTCATAAGTCTGACCTCAGAGACATCACTGTCTCTCCCAAAGAGATGCCGAAGCCCAAGCATCCAGGGCCCCAGCCAAGTGCAAGGTGTCCTGCGCAGAAACCCACAGGGACCCCACAACCATGGCGTATCACGGCCACATGGCCAAGTCCCGCCTGCCAGCGAGAGTGGTTTGCACAGGCCGTCAGAGCGCTGTTGCAAACCACTGTGTCAAGCTTGATGGCCTGTGCCATTCACAGCTCAAGGTTGGCAGTGGACAAAGCTGACGACAAGGGAGCCTCCGCCTGCATGTCTGCCAGGAGCCTGAGAGCACCTTCCCAGTGGCCCCCTTTGGTCATAGCCTCGAGTCCGAGATTCACATCTGACAGCTCTCACCAGTCTCACCATCTCATTGAGGCTCGAGCACAGATTGCATTGCCGAAGGTCACAGCATCCCGCTGGAGACGCTGCCGCGCAAGATCCTGGCCGGTGCCCCTGGACTCTGGAGGGACTCCAAGCGCTTTTCTTCAAGGTTTGCTGCAAGTCGCACATGCCTCGAAGAGAAGCAGGGCCCTGAACCACTCACTGGCCTCACAATGCACTCCGTTGCTCTTCTATGCCGATAGTGCCACAAGCGGGCTCTCTGCACGAATGTGCGCAACTTATTATGCTACAACGCACCTTCTCACAGGCCCCCATGGCCACACTGAAGCAGACCGCATCCCGTTGCACCTGGGCAAGAGTAAGAGCAGCTGCTTGGCAATTGTCCTTTGCACATCCTGCGTTTTTCTCCATTGTTGTTTCCACATATGCCGAAGGTCTTGCCTTCCTCCGCCGTTACACTGGCAAAGACCCCAGACAGTCAAGAAGGGACATCCCGCTGGGTCGTTTATTCTTTTGTCGCTTTTCAAAACCGTGGCATCTGGTTAAAACTCGTTAAGCTAGTTTCCGCTGGAAATTTGTCCGCGACATGGCATGTCGTACTTTGCTACAGCTTGCACAAGCTCAAACGAAGGCCAAGGCCTTGCTACTCACTGCACGTAGCTGGTCGGATGTGGGCAAACCTCAACTGAACACCTGCCTAGTAGCAAGAGACGAGTGCGCTTCGAGACTTTTGAGCAGTTACAGCACCCCTCCATGCTGCCCATTCTCCGTGCTTTAACTCCAGTCCCCGCTTCAAGCCGTAGCCCGCATGTTGCCGTCTCTGCGAATAAAGCCACATGGACATGCACACAATTCCTACACGTACGGAGTTGCAGAGCTGCCATGCTGCCTTAATTGAGCCTTGCCTGATCTTGGATGGCACTGGTTGGGCTTCGCCACCACAACACACATTGAGCGGCAGGCCCTTCCCATCTCAGTGAAGAGCTGTATCCTAGGCCCATCAAGTGCCACCTCTCAAACTTGTTCGTATCGCATATCAGTTTCGTGTCCGAGGGACACTCGCTGCCACTCGCCGGAGCGTGTTAAGGCGCTCATCAGCGTGCTGTAGCCTCTCAGGGACTTGGAGGGCCCGCAGAGCCAAGAGGAGCCAAGTGGACCACTGGGCGCGGCGCTGGCCGCATCTGGAGGTACTCGTGACAATCGCATCTGTGCCATGCACTGCCTTGGACCATTCTATCTCCCCCCCCCTTTCCTTTGCAACAGATATCGTACAAGGTCTGTATTTCTCACAGTCTATACATTCTTAATGGCCGCGGAGGACTCGGGCCGTAGGTGTCTGAGTAGCGCCTGGAATGAGTTCCCCCCCCGTAGCCGACAGGTGTGCGCCCCAACCCTCCCCCCCCCTGTGTGTACCCCATTTTACAACCAGAACCCCCATTTTACAACCAGAACCCCTATTTTACAACCTGCAAGCGTTTCGAGAACTCCCAAATTGCAACCAGGTGCATAAGCCTCTTGACAAGCCTATTGACTTAGAACGCAAAAACCTCAATCCTCCAACAACATCCCTTAGAGCAACCATGCAGATTTGAAAGTGAGCCTGGTTGCAAATTGGGCGTTCTGACTGTAAACTCCTGAAAGTTGGAACATTCTTGTCTCCATAACCCCAAAAAGTCCTTAAACCATGCTTCAACTGTCTGGAATTTACTGTAAGCCAACCCTATCCAAGAAAGCGGTTATTCTTCTTTAGCTTAACATGGACCAGGGTTGGGGAGTCATGAAGTGTTGGACCAAGTTTGGGGAGTAGTAGGGTTTAGGGCCTTAGGGTTTAGGGTTTAGGGAGTAATAGGGCTTAGGATCAGGGTTGGGGAGTAATAGGTTTCGGACCAGGTGTTTCCTGCACCAGCAGCCAGACACTGCGAAGCTCACCCGCCTAGCCACCTCTTGCGGACAAAACGAGGTGTCCGGAAGCCGCTTGCTCCACCTGCTTGAGCTGGACTTTTTTCACAGGACCAACATCCAGCAAACGAGCAGATCGCAAGGCTCTTTGTGGTCTGCTGGTGGCACAGTCGGTCAGCAGCTTGCTTACTGTTTTGCGCTCCTGGAAGTCCTCCCATCCCCTTTTGCCTTGCAGAACACTCTTGGAGCTGTGCTCAGCAAACTTCGGGTCGTCAAGTTGCAAGAGCTCGACTGAGTCATCCGAAGCCACCCGTATCATGGCAGACCAGTGGCACGGTGGTTTGGAAGATCGCAATCGGCACCTGAGAAATGTGACTTTGCCTGATGACTTGACCGCACGGGCAGCATGGCCTCTGCAGAACTTGCCGCAACCAAGATCATCATAACAGGCAGACTTCGAGGAATAGGTCTGTTTCCACACAGTGTACTCTGAAGCCACGAAAGTCGCTGCTCCAGGAGTTCCATGTGCAGCTGGCCGCTTCATGCTAACTATGTTACTAGTATCTGAAAGTGGCAAAGTTTGTTCTGCTGTTGTCGTATCTTGCGTTTAGTACTGAGGGCTCAGAGCACCAAGTTAACCCCAAGGTCACTATTAAACTTTCGCGGAGCCTAAATAGGCACCGAGGGAGAGAAATATACATATATATATATAGGTATATCTCTCTCTACATGTATATCAATCTGTATATGTGTGAATATATATATATATATATATACATATATACATATATATATATATACATATATATATATATACATATATATATACATATATATATACATATATACATATATATATATAATATACCTATATATACATATATATATACATATACATATATATATGTATATACATATATATATATACATATATATATACATATATATATATATATATATATACATATATATATATACATATATATATATGTGAATATATATATATACATATATATATATACATATACATATATATATATGTGAATATACATATATATATATACATATATACATATATAGACGACAGACAGATAGATAGACAGAGACCGGTTGCAAAATGGGGGTTCTGATGTTGTCCAGTTGCAAAATGGGCGTTCTCATGCTCAGAACGCCATGTCTGGTTGTAAAATGGGGGTTCTGGTTGTAAATTGGGGATTCTGGTTGTAAAATGGGTTAATCTCCCCCTCCCCCCCCCTCCCCCCCACCCCACCGCCCCAACCCACCATCCCCCCCCCCGGCCCTCTCCTCTAAATTCTTTGCCGGCATGTTTTCTTGTTTTACCACTCCACATTTGGGGTGCCTGGTCTATACAGGTCTGAACACGCTTCACGCCCGCGCGATCTCCGGTTTGGATTGCCATGCAATGATGTGAAATAAGGGGTGCATTTTAAGGTGACTGGCCCATCAATGGCAACGAAGGAAGCTACACCATGCCACGAGCCACTTGCCTCAGCGCCCGGCACAGCCTGTTCAGCCTCTGCCTCGCTGGAAAGTGCAAAAGCATGCGCATTCTCTTGCTGCTGCATGTAATACGTGTCTCGCGACACAGGAGAGCAGAGCACAATGCCCATACCAACTCAACTCTGGTTCAACTCATCTCTCGAGCTTTGCTCGGCTGCGACCTACGGAAGACAATGTAAAAGAAGCTTCGTTGGGTTCCTGGCCGCATGATCGCAGGCGGAAAGCACGGCATTGTAGCCTTGGTATGCAAAACAGCAGCAAGCAGTGGGTCAGTTGATGTCAACATCAGGCAAGCAGCTCCTTGTGTCAGGGATCACCTGCCAGCCACATGCATCCCCAGCAAAGGAAATGCAAAAGCGAACCCACCGTCTCTTTTGCATACCCGCTGGTGTGATGCCAAGAACCCACAGTACTCAATGTCCCATGTTGTCTGGTCTGATCACCTTCACTGGCAGTTCATCTTGGGCCCACCGTCGGTTCATGCACCAAACGAGGTCTTGCTTGCATTGAGACAGCTAGGAACTGCCATCATCTTGCCTGGGTGCGACAATCTCACTGCGGGCTGCAGTGAAAACCCACCCATCATTTCAGAGATCTAATCTTGGAGATCCAATCTAATTCGCGTCGTGAGAGCAGCCACTGGAATGGCTTGTGTGGCCTTCGGCTCTGCTGTGTTGCTGCGACATTTTCAGTTGTGCATACACAAACACTCTCAGACAGATCTGCTGGAGACCCCCCAGCAACGAAACACGTCCAAACTCCAAACAAGCTTGCGACAAAGAATGGCATTTTTGTTCACTCTCTGCGCAGCGATGTGCAGAAACAGCAGAGGGTGCACCTTCTTGCTGGGCATGTCTTCGAGCAGTGCCGCCGCCATGTGCCACGCGGAAGCGGATGCGCACACCAGGATCGTCGCCTCTGCTAGGCGAAGCAAAGGCACACAAGGGCACAGAAGGCCTCACAGGGGATCCACGAAGCGATCGGAGAGGGATCACCGCAACGCCCGGGCCCCGGCGTTGAAGTTCACGGCGTCAGGGCGCAGTGAAGCCTTCAACCGAAGGAGCATGAAAGAGGAATGCCGCTGAGAGCCAAAAAGAAGCGCCAACAGCTGCCATGTGCCTCCGGCATGTCCGCCAGGAGCTTCACACCTTGCTCCCAGCCTTGTGGATTGTGCATATTGTGCATGGCCCATTGCATGCACAATGCACGAACGCAGCTCCGTTGGGGCCCGCGCGGGCCGACCTGCGCAGGGCGAAGACTGCAGAGGCCACGGCGCTGCGGCTCCGGAGAGAGGCTGGGCCTCACGTTACCGTGGTTTCACCGTGACCCCGCGTCCCCATGTGACGCAATCGAGAGAGGATGCTTCGAGGCCGCCGCCGAGCTCCTCTCGCAAAGTTGGAGAAGCATGCGCAGCTTGCGCCGCGTGACGCCTTCTGAGCTCTGCAGGGCCGCAAAGCAATCAGGCAAGTTTGGCCCGTGAAGCACATGGAACACCATGGAACACCATGGAACAGCATGGAACAGCATGGAACAGCATGGAACCTCTGGGTTCCCGGCGCCTTTCCAGACGGCCGCGGTAGAGGCGGTAGCCAGGCCCGCCTTGAAAGCAAAGCAATCTGTCCCCAAGGTTTTAGGCGGCCCAAGGGTAAGGCCACGGCGCCGAGCGCATCTCCCTTCCATGCCGCTCGCGAGCGGCTGCAAGCAGCTGCAAGGTTGAAAACTTCTGAGCTTTGAGCCTCAGAACTAGCCGCGCGGGCAAGCAGAGGATTCGCCACGGATTCGCTGCGGATGGCCCCTACCATCTGAACAGCCTAGAAAGCCTAGTGCTCTGCTGCCCAGTCCGCATCTGTTTCCGGCTTGGTGGCTGGCCGACTCAGCTCACTTGCCATCACGTTTGTGTGGCGCCAGATCCCCTGTACAAGAAGCTGCCAAGCCTTGCTGTTGAAGGCGATGGCGAAAATCGTGGGCGCGTCTGCACCGAAGGAGGTGCCATTGTGCCACGCTGTGCCATGCTTCAACGCCCCCTCTTCCAGCTTCGTCACCTTTTCCATCGATGTATATCGACATGGGGCCGGTGGCAGCTTGTGGAAGGCTGCCAAGATGAACTTCATCAGACATCCTCCCGCATGGAGGTCAGTGGGCGCTCACTACCAGCCACATAGCTACCTTTTCACCGAAGGTCCTTGTTGAACTGCTTCCCCGCCAGGCTACACGGGTCCCTTGCAGACCATCTCACAGTACCAGCGACACACAGGGTACCACACACATTCACATACACACGAAGCACAGGCGACAGCCTGTAGGTGCCCAAGACTTTGTCCCAATACATGAACAGGTGGCCGTAGTTGTAGATGAAGAGCCTGGGCCAGGAAGCTGGAGGCTTGAGACGTGTTTACGCAGATGACACCTGCAGCAGACATCGCAAGTACTTCAACAACTGGAAGGAAACTCACAAAGGGCTGGGCTTGTGGTGCACATGGTGGTCTGCAGCCGTTCCGAAGCCCAGTTTCCTCGCAGCGCAAGGTCAGGAAGCCCTGAGCATGCTTTGCATGGTTGAAGAAAGAGCGTGGCAGCGACCTGAAGAGAGTGTCCCAGGGATGCACAAACTCCGAGTGGATCAACACGAGCCTTCACAAGAAGGCATCAGCTTCCGATGGCAAAAGCCGCGCACTAGAGTCACAGCCAAAATCCGGCAGTTGACCAGTTGGCGTAGAGTGTCCCAAACGTCATATACGACCTGGCAACAGTAAATAAGCCCAGTGCACAAACCCAGCCATCATACTGTGCAGGCGACTCGCTCGCTTTCATTGCTGAGGGCTCGGCCATACATTGGCAGGGACCAATCGGGCGGTGAGGACCAACGGGATTAAAATCATGCAGATGGTGTCGACCAGGCTGCCATCAAAGGCATCGAACACACCTCGGCTCGAAAGCACATGAAGAAGCTCATGAAAAGAGAGACAAAAAGAAAGAGAGAGAGAGAGAGACAGAAAGAAAAAGAAGGAGAAGATAATGAGAAAAAGGGGTGTGTTGGAGAAATCAATCGCGCGAGTCAGAGCTGCGGTGAGGGATCGTTCTGCCAGGGCACGTGGATTCGTAAAGCGGTGGTGCGGCTTGTGCGAGTTCTGGTAGACCCAAGTGGAAATCTCAGCTGAATTTCAATTCTCGCAAGCCGCTGATCGCCACACATGTGCAGCTAAGCAGCTTTGTGCTCACCAAGGTGCATGAAGCATTGGATCATGTCCTGCAATCCGCGCCCCACACTCATAAGTCGTAAGCCGCAGAAAAGCTTTGCCCATGGCAACGCCACGAGGGCCACTCCATTCACACGCAGCAGCCCACTTACGCCAGCACAAACGGCCTCCGAGCCTTTTCTGGCCAACACATTATCGACCTGAGCCCCTGAACCCTCTGCTTAGTCCTACTTCAGATTACTATGCTTTGAACGTAAAGGTACGTCTCTTGCCTGCCTTAAATTGAAGCCGGAGGAATTGAATCCAAGCACATTTGTTTCTTCGGCTGTGTCTTCAGTGCGAAGCATTGGTGGGGACACGATGTGCTGCGCGCGGTTTGTCTCGAATTGGAGGCATTGAAGATGGTAAGAGTTGCTGGCTCTTGTTGGTCTTCAGCGTGGACATTGATGGACGTTTGCTGCCTAAGCTTTGTCTATGAGCTGTTGATCGGGGCGAATGGGGTGTACGACTTGCTGAACGAAAAAGCCGGCACAGCCAACCAGCATGACCAGACAGCCTTGCAATGACCAATAACATTTGAGAGCAGGGAGGACGAAAGATAAGTGCTGCGGAAGTCTTTGGAGGGTTTGGTTTAGGTTTTGGGTTTACAGTGATTGAGTGATTGAGCAGGTTCTGTTGCAGTATCCCTACACTGATGCAATTCAGGGAAGCCCGCCTACAGAGGAGCCTCCGATTCCCTGTGTGACCTTTCGCCCCAACTCAAGAAGGTAAGAACTGCCGCATGACTTGACAGCTCAGGCTGAAGGATGTACTCACATCGCGATGCTTGAGGTGACAGCCACTGTTGGCCGCAGCCATGTGCAAATCCCCGTTTGCCCGCAATCTTCTGAGTGTTTTGCTACTAAATTCTGCTGCGCGTGATGAGGAACCAAGTGGTCCAGCAAGTCTGTGGCCCCCGACACATTGATAGAACGGGAGTCCCACCATGCTTGCCATCCGTCACATGCTCGGCAGGTTTGCAATACCCGGTATGATTGCGAGGCTGTGTGACATGGATGCTCATGTGACGCGACTACACCAAAACAGGGTGGATTCGATAGATGTCCTGCAGGAGGAGCTGCGCAGCCACATGTTTCCAGCTGATGCCGCCCGCAAAAGAATAGTATGAAGAGGGCCTCAGTGGAAGGCGAGGACAGGATGGGAGGACTTTGCACACTTCTCGGACATTCTGAGGAGGCCACATCCAGCCAAGCATCCACGTTCCTCCGGCAGGAAAAACTTGGATCAAGAGAAGACACAATGTTGGCCCCCGAAGTTGCCCAGGTCCCCTTCCTGTCCTATCAAATATCCACCGAGGAGCACGAAGCCTCGGACGGATTCTCTTTTCGTGGCGGCATTCGGCTGGCTGGCTTGCGCTGCGATGCCTTCCGGATTGGAGAGGTGCGTCTGCAGGCCTTCCGAAAAGTCGTAGTCCCGCACCTGCACGAAGCACGTACGTTCGGAGTTCCAGCAGTGTTTAACATGGTGTTTCCATGCGCGACCCCCCCGAGCCCAGCCTGCGGCTGGACTCGCTTCAGGCCACCGAGCCGGGAACCACGGCGCAGGAAGTGGTAGCAGATCATGAAGAACTCATCACACATTCTCACGCAACTGCCAACTGTCCCACGTCGCAGACCCGGTGACCCACACCCCTGCCTGGCCAACAACTACGGCCAAGAGTCCGAGGACGAGCCCGAGGGGCTTGATCTCAGCCAAAAACAAGAAGCACAAGAGGCACCATTCCCATTGCCGAGGCTTCTGGGAAGAGCACACTCCGTGGATCCGCCACGCCGTACGGCCCCAGCTCTGGGATCACGGGAGCCTCTGACGGGATTTAAACGTGCAAACGAGTCTTAATCATGATCTTGCCCTCGCCTCATCATACCAAGATGCTGGAAAAACATATCTGTAGGCCGTCTCGAACGTCAAAGACAGCCTCAGCAAAACAGGAGCACCGGAAGCGCACTCTAGAGCCATCTCACGGGGACTTTCCCTGCAAAAAGTCAGCAAACTTCAGCAATCTCAGTGCCAGACGGCACAGTGCAAATTGCCGGCCACACTAAGCAAGCCTCAGCATCAGACCCTTCTGGCAGATAGGCCTATGTCAGCATTATACCACTGAGGCATGTGGGGCCCCGGGGATGGTGGGATCTTCCACCCCTTCCTCTCACAACCTTCGCGCTGAGGCACGAGGATTGCCAGAGGCCAGGGATCGCCCACGGCCTCCACCTTGTGCATGCCCATCGCCGCGCCTGGCACAAGACGACGGAAAAAATCGCGCATTGTCCAAATCGGCACCAAAAGTTCGCAATCTGCGGTTCGCGGGATGTGCGCGTTTGGCAACATGTGTTTATGCGTTTGCGTGCCTTTCTCTCCTTGGGCCGGGCGCTCCGCCTCCAGGACCGCCATGGCTGCAAGCGCCTGGAGCTCTGCCTATGGGAAAGCTGCGAGGGCTGCTAGAGCTAGGGGGTCAACGGCTGTCAGTACATGCCACATGTAGCTGCCAAATCGTACCACTCTACCTTCTTCAAACTCTGTCGTATCTGTTGGAGCCGACTCGCAGGGAGGATGGCATGCCGTCATTGCCCCCATCCCCACCTTCCCCAGCCCCCGTCTCCCCCCAGGCCACGAGAAATCATGAGAAACCTCTTTCTGTCGTGCTGTCGACTGAGGCATAACACTCCACGAAACATCCTACCCCGTAACAAATTCCAGAGCCAGCCCCCCACTCACTCTGTGAAGTTCTGTGACATGACCTTGATCTGCCGACGCATGGCGTAAACCCTGACGCCCCGAACTGCCGTGTCTTGACTCTCAAATGTCAGGAATTTGAAGGCTTGTGGCCTCGTGCCGGGCCCTGAGATTCCGCGCGCGTCAACCTTGTCACTGCAAGTAGCTCCGGCGCATTCTGCCGCTATTCTGCACGCATTCTACCTGCTCGTGCTGCTGCGCGCTGCACGCTCGCGAGATGCCATACATACTGTAAAAATAAAGCAAGAATACATCAAGAAAGAAGCAATGCGAGTCGACAAGGCTGCAACGCTGCCGTTTAGAGAGTATGGGGAACAGCCGAACAGGACGGTTCCAAGGCGAAGCAAGAACGATGGGGCGGCAAAGCCCGCTCTTTGGAGGGCAGGGCACAGGGTAGCCGAAAGCGAAAAAGTAAAGTAGGGAAGGCATAGGCACACGTAACGGGGGTCCCAGCTGTCGAGTTGTGAGTCAAGAGCACTTTTTCTTTGGAGCAGAGAGCTGACCGCTCGATGGAGCTCCAGAGCGGCGAGCTGGAGTCCACTCGAGGCCCCCACTCCGGCACTCCTCCATATATGGCGCAGGCTCACTTTCGCCCAAGCCACTTCGAGGAGATTTTGGGTGTCGCGGGAAAGCAATACAGGCTCGGCATACTTTGCCGGCTTTCGGGCTGGATGAAACCCCCCCGCCTGTCTCCAAAATCTCCGGTCAGAGAACTTTACATGAACGGATGACTTACGACGCCATGCCGCTCGCGCGAGCGGCTCTTCGGCTCTTCGAGATCCTCAGGAGCTCTTCAGGAGCTCTTCAGGAGCTCTTCGAGCTCTTCGAGCTCTGCTCCCTACTCTATATAAGCCTTTTCAGCTCTTAAGAGGCTCGATCAAGGATTGAACAAGGGGAGAAGGAGGGAGAGAAGTCGCTCCGGTGCCTCCTTCTTCTCTCAATCCCTCAGACACTCCAGAGCCAGGGACGTCGGCACAGCCTCCGCAGCCTCCGGCGCATCTGAGATGAACCCTCCGAACTTCTCTGAACCCGTCCTCTCACCGGCGCACCGCGGAGCAGGCGCGCCTGGAGAGCGCCGACTCGACTTCGGCCCTGGCGAGCACCAGCAGCAGTAGCAGCCTGAGATATAGAGTCGAAGACCCGCGAAGACTCGACCAATCTCTTGCCGAGGTCGCCACAATCCCGCCCCGGCCAGGAGCTTCGGCTTCTGCCTCTCCGAAGACATCTCCAAAAGGCGGCTCGCATCCGAGCTGCGGTTGCCAACAAAAATCGCGTGTCTCTTTACAAGAGCAACACACATTGCTTTACATAGCTGCAGCCTGCTGCTACAAATGCTGAGCGGAAAGCTTAACGGAACAGGGGCAGCCTCCAAAGGGCGGCAACGGAGCACGGCCAGAGGAAGCCCTCACCTTGGATGCACCGTTACGTTTTATGTCTTGAGTCACTTGAGTCTGTTCTGAGTCTGGTAATGCGCTCTAGGGCCGTGGCGGGCCTCGCTCGGTAGCTCTGTCGGCGCCTGCCAAGGCCCGGCTGCTCCGCACACTTGCACGACGCTGATCACTGCATGATCACAACACAAGGGCAGCGAGGCACTCGAGGCCTTGGGAGCTTCCGGCGCCTCCGGCACCTTCAGCACCGGTGTCAGCCCATCCAAGGCTTCAGGGTCCCTGGGAGCCTCGCTTCCGCTTCAGTTCTGCCGATGGTGAGCAGGCTCTCCGTGTCCGGGTTCCCTGCTTTGTCCGCACCTTCCTGGCCTTTCGAAGCCTTCAAGCAAAAGACTTTCCGGAAGTCGCATGTTGCGTTCTTGGGACCTCTTTTGCCACTCCGGTTCTCTCAAAGAGTGATTCAAGGAGAGTGCTCTCCACAACTTAAAAGCCAATAAACCTACAACACCCAGGAACCGAGCCCTCTAAGCCCCATAAGCTCCGTAAGCCCCTAGACTCCTGCCCTAAACTCTACAAACCCTAAACCTTCAAACCCTAAACACCTGTTTTGATATGGGGTGCAATCCTGGGCCTTGGCCGCCTCGCCCTCGCGCCACTCGTCGAAGCCCATCCAAGACACCACGCCATGGACCTCTCATTTGGGGAGCTTCAAGAAGCGTCCGAAGCATGTGAGAAACACCCCCCCCTAAAGCGAGCTGCTCAACATTGCTCTTCCAAAAGCTCTGTCTATCATACTCTTCTTCTCTTCGCCGGGTGTGGGGGGGTTCCGCTGGCGCGTCAGCGCAGGGCTTGGCGATTTGGCGCAGACGCGCAGGGTGTGCCAGTGCGCCTGATCTGTTTCTGCATTCTTGCGGGCATGCCTTTTTCGTTCGTTGTTCTCTCCTTCTTAGGCAATCCTCTCTCATGTCTTCACGTGCTTGTGCATTGCATCTCTTTTGTGGTGCAACGGGGGGAGGGGGGGGGGACCTTCGGGCAAGTCCGGCCGCATCCGGCCGGCCCTGGGTCAGGGGCCTTGGCTGCTCAAACCAGGCCAGGACCAGTGCGAGCTTCTACAAAACTCTACAAAAGCCTTCTCTTCTTCTTTATGGTGGCGAGGCCTGCCCGGACTCCGTCATGCGCAGTATCCCGGGTTTAGTTTTGGTTTTTGGCGGCGGCTGCAGGACTCTGGTGATAGGTGGTGGTTGGTGGGCGTCTCGAGTTGCTTGGGCTGGTAGCTGAAGGTCTTCCTGGTCAAGCCATTGGACCTGTTGCCAGTGGCAGGAAGGATTTATTGAGGTCTGCGCCCAACTACTCCTGTTGGCATTGCATGGGGTTTCGCTCGTGTGTGATGTGGTGTGCCGACAGAACTCTCAATGTGTAGTGGTTGCCCCCGATGTGTGGGTGCCTGCGAGGATGGTCGCCCTTCCTTCCCACCCTCCCTTCATCTTGCCGTAGATCGTTGTCCACATCTCTCTCGCGTCCACTTCTTTTTGGTTTGTTCCCGACATCTTATTTGTTTCTTCCCATTATTCTGTTCCTTCTTCTTCTTCTTCTGATTCTTCTTCTTCTTCTTCTTCTTCTTCTTCTTCTTCTTCTTCTTCTTCTTCTTGCTCATATTCTTCTTGCGTATATTATTATGTTATTGTTCTCTCTTTTTCTTGATGTAGTTGACGTTCCTGCTTCCGCCGCGCCTTTCCCGCCAGCTCGGCGGCCTTGCGGACAGCGGCGCCGCCGGAGGCCCTGACGCCAACAAGACAAGACATCAATGGAGCGCCCCTTTTTGACCTCTTGGTGATCTGCTCTCCAGTCTCTAGGGGCCTCATGACGACCAGGATGTGTTGCGCGTCGATCCACTTGCAAAGGTATCCAGCATTGGTGATCAGCCTGCACGGCGGCACTAAGCGCTGGGAAGGGCCAGGTGAGGAATGGAGTTCTCGATGGCCTTGCTACGAGGGGAAGTTTATTGGAAGCTAACTCCGTGGCTTGCTAAAGGGGGGGAATGTTGTTGGAAGCTAACTTTGCTGCGGTAGGATACTTTTGTTGGAAGTTAGCTTTGTGGCTTGCTAAGGGGTGAATTTTATTGGAAGTCAGCTTTGTGGCTTGACAAGGGGGGGTTTTTGTTGGAAGTCAGCTTTGTGGCTTGCTCAGGGGGGAATTCTATTGCAAGTTAGCTTGGTGGTTTGCTGCGGGGTGGATTTTATTGGAAGCTAGCTTTGTGGCTTGCTAAGGGGGGAATGTTATCGGAAGTTAGCTTTGTGCAGTTAGCTTTGTGGCTTGCTGAGGAGCGAATTTTATTGGAAGTTAGCTTTGTGGCCTGCCCAGGGGGGATTTTATTGGAAGTCAGCTTTGTGGCTTGCTAAGAGGAGATTTTGTTGGAAGTTAGCTTTGTGAGGGAATTCTATTGGAAGTTAGCTTTGTGGCTTGCTAAGGGGGGAATGTTATCGGAAGTTAAGCTTTCTGTTCTGCTAGGGGAGGAATTTTATTGGAAGCTAGCTTTGTGGCTTGCTAATAGGGGAATGTTCTTGGAAGTCGGCTTTTTGGCTTGCTAAGGGGCGAATTTTATTGCAAGTTAGCTTTGTGGCTTGCTAAGTGGGGAAATTTATTGGAAGTCAGCTTTGTGGCTTCCTACGGGGTGGATTTTATTGGAAGTTGGCTTTGTGGCTTGCTAAGGAATGAGTTTTGTTGGAAGTCAACTTTGTGGCTTGCTAAGAGGTGAGTTTTCTTGGAAGTTGGCTTTGTCTTGCTAAGGGCGGAATGTTATTGGGATTTTGCTTTGTGGCTTCCTATGGGGTGAGTTTTTTTTAGTTAGCTTTGTGGCCTTGCTGAGTGGCTTGCTAAGGGGTGAAACTTTGGAAGTTCGGGAATTGTTTAATTGGAAGTTCGCCTCGTGACTTACTAAGGGGAGAAAAGAAGGAATTCGAAGTTAGCTTTGATGTCTTGAATTTCTGAGGAAGGTTTCGTTGCAATGCTACGCGGCGTGATGTTTAAAGGAGGATTTTGATCTCAATGCTACTAGTCTCAAGATTCGGCGGAAGACTTCGTTGCAATTGCTACATGTCTTGGGTTTCTGATCAAGGTTTTTTGCATCTGCTACGTGTCTTGAAGTTCTGAGGAAGGTTTCGCTGCAATTGCTACGTGTCTTGAATTGCTGAGCAAGGTTTCGTTGCATTTGCTACGTGTCTTGAATTGCTGAGGAAGGTTTCGTTGCAATTGCTACGTGTCTTGAGTTTCTGAGGAAGCTTTCGTTGCAAATGCTACTATTCTTGAGTTTCTGAGGAAGGTTTCGTTGCAATTGCTACGTGTCATAAGTTTCAAAGGAAGGTTTCGTTGCAATTGCTACTCGGCTAGAAATTCTGAGGAATGTTTCGTTACAATTGCTACTAATCTTCAGCTTCTGAGTAGGGTTTTGCTTGTACATGCTACTTGTCTTGATGTTCTGAGCAAGGTTTCGTTGCAATTGCTACGTGTCTTGAATTTCTGAGGAAGGTTTCGTTGCAATTTCTGCTCGTCTTGAACTTCTGAGGAAGTTTTCACTGTAAATGCTACTAGATGTGAGTTTCTGAGGAAGGTTTCGTTGCCTTTGCTACCTGTCTTGAATTTCTGAAGAAGCTTTCGATGCAACTGCTACTCGTCTTGAATTTCGGATGAAGGTTTTGTTGTCAATCTACGTGTCTTGAGTTTCTGAGGAAGGTTTCGTTGCAATTGCTACATGTCTTGTATTTATGAGTAAGGTTTCGTTGCAATTGCCACATGTCTTGGATTTCTGAGGAAGGTTTCGCTGTCAATGCTACGAAGGTTTCGTTGCAATTGCCATATGTCTTGAGTTTCTGAGGAAGGTTAGCCTTAAATGCCGCTAGTCTTGAGGTCTGCGCTGCATTGGGTACATGTGTTGAATTTCTGAGGAAGGTTTCGTTGCAATTGCTACTCGCCTTGGATTTCTGAGGAAGATTTCGCTGTAAATGCTACTAGTCTTGACATTCCTACGAAGGTTTCGTTGCAATTGCTACATGTCTTGAAATTGACAGTAAGGTTTAGTTGCAATTGCTACATGGCTTGAAGTTCTGAGGAGGGTTTCGTTGCTACCCGGCTTGAATTTCTGAGGAAGGTTTCGTTGCAATCGTTACTCGGGTTGAACTTCTGAGGAAGGTGTCGTTGCAATCAGTACTGGGCTTCAATTTCTGAGGAAGGTTGCGTTGATTTGTCTTGGGTTTTTTTGAGGAAGGTTTGTTGTAAATGCTACCAGTCTTGAGTTTCTGAGAAAGGTTTCGCTGCAATTGCTGCATGTCTTGAATTTCTGAGGAAGGTTTCGTTGCAATTGCTACTCGTCTTGAGTTTCCGAGGAAGGTTTCGTTCTAAATGCTACTAATCTTGAGTTTCTGGGGCAGGCGTAGTTGCAATTTCTACCTGTCATAAATTCTTGCGGAATGCTTTTTTGCAATTGCTACTTGGCTTGAAGTTCTGAGGAAGGTTTCGTTGCAATTGCTACGCGTCTTGAGTTTCTGAGGAAGGTTTCGTTGCAAATGCTACTATTCTTGAGTTTCTGAGGAAGGTTTCGTTGCAATTGCTACGTGTCATAAGTTTCAAAGGAAGGTTTCGTTGCAATTGCTACTCGGCTAGAAATTCTGAGGAATGTTTCGTTACAATTGCTACTAATCTTCAGCTTCTGAGTAGGGTTTTGTTGTAAATGCTACTTGTCTTGGTGTTCTGAGCAAGGTTTCGTTGCAATTGCTACGTGTCTTGAATTTCTGATGAAGCTTTCACTGTAAATGCTACTAGTTGTGAGTTTTTAAGGAAGGTTTCGTTGCCTTTGCTACCTGTCTTGAATTTCTGAAGAAGCTTTCAATGCAACTGCTACTCGTCTTCAACTTCGGATGAAGGTTTTGTTGTCAATGCTACATGTCTTGAGTTTCTGAGGAAGGTTTCGTTGCAATTGCTACATGTCTTGTATTTATGAGTAAGGTTTCGTTGCAATTGCTACAGGTCTTGAATTTCTGAGGAAGGTTTCGCTGCAATTGCCACATGTCTTGGATTTCTGAGGAAGGTTTCGTTGCAATTGCCATATGTCTTGAGTTTCTGAGGAAGGTTAGCCTTAAATGCCGCTAGTCTTGAGGTCTGCGCTGCAATGGGTACATGTGTTGAATTTCTGAGGAAGGTTTCGTTGCAATTGCTACTCGCCTTGGATTTCTGAGGAAGATTTCGCTGTAAATGCTACTAGTCTTGACATTCCTACGAAGATTTCGTTGCAATTGCTACATGTCTTGAAATTGACAGTAAGGTTTAGTTGCAATTGCTACATGTCTTGAAGTTCTGAGGAGGGTTTCGTTGCTACCCGGCTTGAATTTCTGAGGAAGGTTTCGTTGCAATCGTTTCTCGGGTGAATTTCTGAGGAAGGTGTCGTTGCAATCGGTACTGGGCTTCACTTTCGCGGGAAGGTTTCGTTGAGAAGGTTTCGTTGCAACTGCTCCCCAGGTTGAATTTCTGAGGAAGTTGTTACTGTAAATGCTACTAGCCTTGGGTTTCTGAGGAAGGTTTCGTTGCAACTGCTACTCGTCTTGAGTTTCTAAGGAAGGTTTCGCTGTAAATGCTACTAGCCTTGAGTTTCTGAGGAAGGTTTCGTTGCAATTGCTACATGCCTTGAATTTAAGAGAAAGGTTTGATTTGCTTCGTTGCAGATGTTACTCGTCTTGAATTTCTGAGGCATGTTTCGATGTACAAGGAAGGTTTCGTTGCAGTTGCTACATGTCTTGAATTTCTGAGGAATGCTTTTTGTTGCAATTGCTACTTGGCTTGAAGTTCTGAGGAAGGTTTTGTTGTGAATGCTACTAGTTTTGAGCTTCTGAGGAAGGTGTTGCTTTCAGTGAGTTTCTGAGCAAGTTTTCGTTGCAATTGCTACTCGTCTTGATTTTCTAAGGAAGATTTTGCTGTAAATGCTACTCCTCTTAAGGTTTCTGCGAAAGGCTTCGTTGCAATTGCTGCATGTCTTGAGTTTCTAGCAAGGTTTTGTTGCAATTGCTACGTGTCTTGAAACTCTGAAGAAATTGTTGCAATTGCCACGTGTCTTGGACTGCTGAGCAAGGTTTCGTTGCATTTGCTATGTGTCTTGAATTTCTGGGGCTTGAATTTCTGAGGAAGGCTTCGTTGTAAATGCTACTAATCATGAGATCTTGAGGAAGGTTCCGCTGTAATTGCTACTAGTCTTGAGTTTGTGAGGAAGGCAGGTTTCGTTGCGTATGCTACTCGGCTTGAATTGCTGAATATGGTTTCGCTGTAAATGCTGCTATTTTTGCGTTTCTGAGGAAGGTTTCGTTGCCTTTGCTACGTGTATTGACTTTTTGAGGAAGGTTTCGTTGCAATTCCTGTATGTCTTGAGTTTCGGATGACGATTCTGTTGTGAATGCTACGTGTTTTGAGTTTCTGAGGAAGGTTTCGTTGTAAATGCTACTAATCATGAGATTTTGGGGAAGGTTTCGTTGCAATTGCTATTCGGCTTGAATGTGTGAAGAAGGCTTTCCTTGTAACTGCTACTCGGGTTGAACTTCGGAGGACGGTTTCGTTGCAATTGCTATATGTCTTGGACGTAAATGCTACTAGTCTTGATTTTCTGAGAAAGGTTTCGTTGCAATTGCTGCATGTTTTGAATTTCTGAATTTCTGAAGAAGGTTTCGCCGTAATTGCTACGTGTCTAGAAATGTTGAGCAAGGTTTCGTTGCATTTGCTACGTGTCTTGAACTGCTGAAGAAGGTTTCGTTGCAATTGCTATGTGTCTTGAGTTTCTGAGGAAGGTTTCGTTGCTACATGTCTTTCATTTCTGAGGAAGGTTCCGTTGCAACTACTACTCGGCTTGAATTTCTGAGCAAGGTTTCTCTGTAACTGCTACTGGTCTT